TCGAAGACTTTGTTATGTTTTTTTTTTTTTTTTTTTGATAAAGACTTTGTTATGTTTTTAGGTTCAAATTCCATATTCTCGGACGTAATATGTATGCATTAATGACAAAGGAAAAGAGATTTTTAACATCATATGAGAAAAAAGAAAGTTGACTTCCATTTTACGGTTCAAAACAAGATTTATGAACCAAAATACACAGAGGGATAAGGGAAACCATAATGCCTATAGAAAATAAACAAAATGCAATCGCTAATGCATATTGGAATGACCATTAAGCAGTGAAGCAGATAAATTTTCTCCTTTTGAGACAGGTAACATAGTAAAGCTTGAACGCACTATGATACCCGCCCCTTCTGCATCATTTTGGAGAGAAAATTCTTCAACTTCACCACTTGAGGCAACCCATTATTTAATACTTGACTCCTAATTAAACACTCCTAAGTTACTAAGGCGTCTTCCAGCAAGTGCTCCATAGCAAACCGCTCCCTTCGTGACTAGCACACGTTTGTGAGAATTTTTTGTTACCGAGCACGAGCTTTGGACGAACCTAACAACTCTTGCAACTAATTAGTACTTTAAAATACCAAATATATCAAATTCCAACTACCTCATGACCAAATTCATCTTCAGAGCCAGTACTGATGCATTCCTTCTCATCTTCAAACCCTTCAAGGGAGGGGTGAGGAGAATGTCCCTTGCCAAAGGACCTAATGTGGTCTTTCAGTGACCTCTTATGTTTAAAATCTGAGCCACAGGTACAGTACCATAATTTTCCACAATTCTTTTCATGAGTTCTCCAGTCTCCCTTAACAGCAAAGCTTTTGCCACATTTCCTGCACATGAAGGGCTTGGCACCATGCTTTCTTTTGTAATGAGTTTGCAGTGTCCTGAAGTCCTTCAATGGCTTTGCGCGTGGATGGTTAATGTTGTTCTTGCATCCTTGAGCACAGCAATAGCAGGGCAGCCTAAGCATTGCTGCTGGCTGTGCTCCTTTAAGTGAATCCGGCCCTTTTCTATACTCAGAGCCATGCCCCCACATATGCATCTGTTCATTTCCCCCCCACCCAAAAAAATCAGTACTGTTTTGCATAATACATACATCCAACTTCATTGAGTTAATGAATATGTGATTAAAAAAAAAAAAATCTTTGAAATTCAATCTGTACATGGTAGATAATCTTTTTTAGGGTGTGTTAGGCTATGACTTTTAGTTAAAAGAAGTTAAAAGTGAATTAGTTCATTGAAGATGAGAATCCAAAGTTCTAGACCATTAATCTTTTTAACAATCTCTTTTCTTTTTAATCATTTCAGCATCCTACTACTCCCACTAGCTAACATAATATATGTTAAGAATCTAGAAAATTTTGTCCCTGCCCCAACCTGCAGTTCTTTTTTCTGTAGCTTTTCACCCAAAAAGAAGCAATGAAGGATAAAGTCAAAAGAAATGTGATCCGGGGTTAGTTACATTTTTATTTTAATAATATAACTAATTCACACGTAACTGAAAGAAAATTTTGTAGTACCAAGGTGTTCCTTGTTAATTCTTTTGGAAATTCTTTTTTTTTGGAAATTGATGTAGTTAAGTTCATCAAATATATATATATATATATATATTTATATGGACCATGTCATTCATTTTTCTTTCATTTTTTGGACTAATTAAGCAAGAAAAATTTCATTGAATTGAAGGAGTAAAGTTTTTCTCAAATTTAGCCCTACAAGGAAGAAAATTTGAGCTGTGACTTTTTGGAGTTTTCAAAAGAGGTTGTTTCCTTAAGCACGAAAGTTGAGATGCTTGCTTAATGAGATTAATGCAGTCTTGTTAATTAATCTTTTTTAGTAATTCATGTTTCAGAAACCAGATGAGATGACAGCATCTTTTTATCATTTTGTACCGACAAAAACAATCAAGTACTAAATCATGTTGATCCATACTGACCTGCATGTTATTGTACCTATTGAATGTCTTGTTGCAGATGGAACAAGCAAACTGCATCGGACCAACTAAGATCTGTGCCGGAGTTGGGATCCAAAACCTTCTTTCTGTGTTGAAAGAATCTCCGAGGAATCTTTTCTTCATGGGAGGTGCTTCTTCTTCTTTGAATATGATCCTGCTGTTCTCCACAATAGCATCATCCACTGTGTTAGGCAATCCAATGTGCAAGGAGATTGCAACTTTATCCGTCTTCTCTTCTTTTACTTGAATTCCTTGATCTTCCTCCTTCAATAGCTTCTTCTCTGTAAGCCTGCTCAACAGAGGCAAGCATTGGATGTCCTGCTGCTCGAATGACAGAGGAAGTTTCAAGATGTTCATGGAGTTTGTGAACTGAATTTGTTGAGGCAGAGAATCAGATGATGAAGAAGAAGAAGAAGAAGATGGAGATGAATTACATAGTGATGAAGAAGGAGGAGAGGCTGAATTAGAGGAGGGTTTGAGCCATTCAATGAAGGTAGGAGCAGCTTGGAAGCAAAAGTTTTGTTCCTGTACATGGTAGCTCCTCAAACCCATCTTCACTCATGAGAATTGGTATTTCCTCAGATATATGGTTTATATCTAGATTTTATGTAGGAAAACTTGCACATGGAGTTGATTTATGAAAAGGGTGTTTGGTTAATTTGTCTTTTTAGGAAGAACTCCTTTTTCCTTCACCCTTTTAATTTTCCACCTTTACCCTTTGTTTGATTTGGGAGGAAGAAAGAGAGAGAGAGAGAGAGAGATTAGTGGTGGGGTTAAGGAAAATGACATGCATAAATCAAAGACTCACTAGATGAAGAGAATCCTAGAATAGTGTCAAACTACATGTAATGTTAATTAGCTAATAAGATCATTGATATAGTACTCTTATATAATTTTTCTTGGGGTCTAACTACCATTACTATTCATTTTATCAAGTACATACCAATGAATCAAGTATAACATGGTATAACAAAATCAATTCACAATCAAGAAGATAACACAAAGTTGGAATACAATTGGTCAAAGAATTTGATTTGAATTTTGGCATATTTGCCTATTTACTACCATGTCAAGACTTCATTGGTCATTTTCAAAATTTTTCATTTTTATATATAATGGAATTTGACCCATGTGGTGCAAGTTTCTCATAAGATGCATCGACATAGTTGGGAAAATTGAAAAACAGATATGGCTCTCTTGTCAATACCTAAAAGAAAATGAAAATAATATAAAAAGCCTGTAAAAAAAAATAATCGTGGCCGTGTGGGAAAAGAATGTTTTAAATGTACCGTATAAAATATGCAAAGGAAATATTGCAATAATTTATGGACAAACTTAAGTAAATTGATACTAATTTTTAATTTACTAATCCAATCCGTTTAGATGAGGTCTTCAAC